TCTTTAATAGGTGCTATTCAAATTTTATATTTCCTCCAGAGTTAGTTTCATTAATTTGTCTTCCAATGTACTTCTTAGAAGCTGTCAAATTTATTTCAAAACAGATTTTTGAAATATGCTTTCTATATCCTTTTAAATTCCGTAAAATCTGTGGTAATGTCTCCTAGATCTTGATATTGTAATTTAAAAAATGTATATTTGATATTGTGTAACAGGAAGAAAAGGTCTAAAGAGGCAGGGGAAGTGGGAGGGGTAGGGAAAAGAAAAAAGGGAAAAGAAAAAATATGAGAAAAGGAAAAAAATGGAATCAAAGTCTTCGCAAATAGGGAAGGGTGGAGGGGGTGAAGGGAGGGAATATATATTCCCAAACACATATACCACAAGTACACACAATTTTTGTCAACTAAAAAGTTTTCTTTTGGTGCATGCCTATAATTCCAGTACTCTAAGAGGCTGAGGCAGGGAGATTGCGAGTTACAGCTCAGACTGGGCAACTAAGGGAGACCCTAGGTTGAAACCCCAGTAATTCAAACAATAACAAAAAAAATGCATTTACCCTGATCTAGTAGCTTCTCTCCTAGAATATACACAGCCAACAATACAAAAACACTTGTACGCACAATGCATTATATGTCACCACAAATGTAAGGATTTACTTCAAGAGATTCATTGAATTAACCAAGACAAATTCACAATGAAGTACTATGCAACTGAGAAAAAAAATGAGAACAATCTCCAGGAAGTGGTATAAGATTATTTAGCATATGTACTGGTAAGTGAAAAAAAGTCAAGTGTAAAAGTAATTTCAGTATGCAATCTTTTGTGTAAGAAGAGGAAATAAACACAGAAAGAATAAACCAGAAACCAATAAGCTCATTTACCTATAAGGAAGAAAAGAACCAGGGAGGCTACTTCTCAGTATATTTATATAGTTTTGACTATATAGTTAAAGTTCTTCATATTCAGAAAACACGAAAACTGACGAGGGCATGTCAAAGAACCACAGGAGCCTACTCTGAAGGAACTATTGGCCAAATCAGGAAAAATATAAGCATTACATAAAAAGAAACTAATAAATTATAACCCACTGAATAAAATCACGAGTCCATGCTGTTAGTAAAAAATAAGAGAAGGAAAACATTTACTTATGCTAGATATCAATTAATAAATATATAAAAGTTGATGAAGGTAGAAAATCACTTTCTGCAATCATAACATAAAAATGGATTGAGGCAAGGATCATCAATAGATGCTGACAGGGGGATAATGTGATAAGGAACAGGACATTTATACACTTGCAATGTATTTCCACACAAATTACTTATCAACTAGGAAAAGAAAAATAGTAAAGCTATATGATGGAGAAAACAGTAATCTTCATTGACAATGTAAAAGTAACATCACTGATAAGAAACTGCCATCTCCTCTGGTTGTGATACCCAGAGAAGATATAACACATAGCCAAAATTGCATAATCTGAATCTAATTATGAGAAAACAAACCCAAATTAAAACCTGTACTCCGTAAAGACGTCAATGTCACGAAAGATCAAAAAATATACCTTGTAAAAGATGTCCAGCCTAGGCAACTTAATGAGACTGCCTCAAAATAAAAAAACAACAACAAAAAAAACCGATCTGGGGATGTCAGGGATGCAGTTCAGTACAAAGGCCCTGGGTTAAATTCTCAGGACCATCACCTCCCAAAAAAAGTGACTAAGAGACATGACAAAATACAATGCAAACCCCAGGGGATTTGATCTGACACAGGATGGAAGAAAAACTATATGAAAGACATTAGAGAAGCTGGGTGTGGTGGCACACACCTGTAATCCAAGCACTTGGAAGGCTGAGGCAGCCACAAGTTCAAGACCAACCTCGGCTACACAGTGAGTTCAAGGCCAGTCTGAACTACATAGCAAGACCCTGTCTCAAAAAAAAAAAAAAAGGGCAGGGGATTTAGCTCAAGTGTTTCCGGTGCCTGGCCTGCCTCACAAATGTGAGATCCTGGGTTCGATCTCCAGTACCAAAAAAAAAAAAAAGAGAGACTATAGGGACAATGGATGAAATGGAAATGGATAGCAGGTAAATCTATATCAATAACAAGTCTCCTGAACTCAGTAACTACATTGTGACTATGTTAGTGTCTTTTTTCTTAGAAGCACAAAGTAGTAAAGGAAACTGATGCAGTCAACCTGCCTCAAATGGTTCAGAAAAAAATGGAAACAATAATATGGAAACATTAAAATTAGTAAAATGGTGAAATTAGATAAAAGGATATACATGAGTTTTCTAAATTATTCTTTCCACTTTTCTTTAAATTTGAAATTATTTCAAAGTAAGGTTAAAGTGGCTTCTGAGACCAATGTAATACATGTTACTTAACATCCGGTTGCACCCTATCAAAGACTTGTTTTGTAGTCAGGTGTGGTGATGCACACTGACAATGTCAGCAACTAGCACACTGGGAGTCTGTGGCAAAAGGAGAGAGCCTGAGCACTCAGCAACTCCATGAGTTGCCATCTCACACACACAAATAAGCTAAGGACACAGCTCAGTGCAAAGGCCCAAAACTGCAAGACAAACAAAACAAAACAAAACAAAACTTACTTTGCTTTAGCCAAAAACGCAAATGAGGTAACAGATAACTTGTTCACATGAATTACCTACATTCCATTTTTTCTGATAAATAACTTGGAAATCACCATTTCTTACGTACCTAGTATCAATATCAGCTGCCTGGATTGTGTTAAAAAGCAATTCAGCAACACCGACTCCCTCAACATTGATCAAGTGAGGCTGAAATAAAGCTTCTGGTGCTTCAAATCTCTCTCCCCCAACTTTAATAATTCGTCCATCTGGGAGCTAGAAATGAAGAATAATCATGTGCTAGTCAGTAAAAACCATTAAAATTTCTCAGTGTTCTTGAAAACATTTTAGCACTTTTGTTCTACAGCCAAAAAAGCAAAATCATTAAAAGCAATAATTTTTTCCCTAAATATATTTCAGTGGAAAAAGTAAAATGAAAGGTATTCGGGGCCAGAGATTTAGCTCAGTGGTGCTTGCTGAGCATGCCTGGCGAGCTCAAGGTCCTGAGTTGGATTCCCAGTACCAGGAAATAAAAAAGGTATTCAAGTAACTTACTGCCTATCATTGAGCCCTATTCTGTTTGCAGTGGAATTTAATGGAGAAATCATCAACGTACATGTCAAGACATTCCACGTGTCTGTGCAGCACAGCACAGGCAGCACTGACCAACCACTAGATTCTGATTATTACTAGTATGTGTTAATGTTGCTTGTTTTATAATTTCAACGTATTTGTGGTTTTATGGATTTTTTCCTGTGTAGATACGTTAAACATTTTCAATAATTTTCTAAAATAAATCCAAGCTACATTTATAGAAAGTAAAAAAAAATTTTTTCACCAATTGTTCTATGAAGCTATTATTTTACCATCAAAATATTTAATGTGTGCTGATCTTGTCTAATTCAATTCAAAAAGTACTTACAGAGCCAGGGATTTAGCTTAGTGGTTTCGTCACCTGCTGTGCAAGCAGCAAGGACCCAAGTTCAATCCCCAGTACCAAAAAAAAAAAAAAAAAAAAGTACTTATGAGCAAAAAAAATTTACGAAACACTGTTCTAGGCTCTTTTTTCCATTTTTATTTTTAAAAAATTTTTTTAATTTTTTAATTTTTTTGGTACCGGGGATCGAACTCGGGTCCTTGCACTTGTGCAGCAGGCAGCAAAACCACTGAGCTAAATCCCCGGCCCGAGGCTCTTTTTTATTGTTTTATGTAGCTCAGGTTGGCTCCAAACTCACTATGTAGCCCAGCTGGCCTTGAACTTGCAATCTTCCTGCCCTAGCTTCCTGAGTAGATGGGATTATAGGCATGCACCATCATGCCCAGGGCTAGATTATTTATTAGGCCATTTTGTTGTATTTTATGTGGTCATAATAAATTTTAAATAACTGATAAACATAATTACAATTTAAGTCGGTAAGATTTAAACAGCAGGTCCAACATCATAACTCGACCCATGCAGAAAACCTTTAAGTCACACTGTGTTTACATTTAATCAAAGGAGAAATATTAAGTAAAAACAACTCTTAGGCTCCCTCTCAGAACTCACTAGACTGACTGAAGTAACAAACATATTCACATATGCTGGCATTTGATACATTTCTTTTTTTTAATCCCCAGTAAAAGGAATTGAACTCAGGACCTTGCGCTTGCCAGACAGGCGTGGTGCCACTGGCTACATTCCCACCCATTTGATATGATATGATAAGATATGAGGATGTTTTTATATTAACATTTATAACAGCACATTAATTTATAAATAATTTGTAATATTTATAATTTTATATTTCCAGTATGACAAAGTACCACAAAAGCATGTTCCTTAAAATAGACTCCATGTTTGCTGAAATTGTTTACAGATATACATACAGAATCACATTTTTCAAAAATTCAAGAATTTCCTTTCCATAAATTGTACTGAGTTTCTTAATTCTCATCATTTCTATTTGTCTACCTTTATTTTCACTCACTTATCAGTTTGCTGTTTTACACTTGTATATATTTTTGTACTGTTTGCAAAAGGAGGGAAGAAATAACATGCTTTATGTTTTCAGTTCTCTCATTGTCTGCCTTGTACTCTTTCTTCCACGTAAGTCAGGCAGGTGGAAAAGTAGAAAGCCAGAGAGAAACTGTCAAGAAGGCTTTAGGAAGAACAGTCCAGGGAAAATTGGAAAGCAACAAGTTACAAAGTGGGTTTTATTGCGTATTCGGATTGATATCTTTAAAGAAATTGCCATTACCTGAAAAATGATTACATATTTGGGGCTGGGGATATAGCTCAGTGGTAGAACACTTCCCTAGCATGCCTGTAAACTTGGATTCTTAGCACCACCAAAAAATAAAAACAGACAAAAATTTAAATTATCATTTTGCACATATTTGTGAATATGTAAAACTAACATGGATCGTATGGGTTAAGAATACTGTAATCCCAGGATTCGGGAGGCTGAGTCAAGAGGAGCACTGTGAGTTCAAGGGCAACTTGGGCTACATAGTGAGTTCAAGGACAGCCCTGAACTACAGTGAAACCTTGCCTCAAACAAAACAAAACAAATCAAAAATCAGGGTGGGGGATTTAGCTCAGTGGTTCTGCCGCCTGCTTTGCAAGCACAAGGTCCCGAGTTCAATCCCCGGTACCAAAAAAACAAAAAAACTCAAAAAAAAAAAATCTTGCTTTTACTGCCCATTACTCTTTCATTTTAATAATAACTAAATCAAGTCTCAGTTACTATTTCAGGTTAACATTTGTTTTGAATATCTCATTAAGAAAATATTAAGTGGGCCGGGGATTTAGCTCAGTGGTTCTGCCGCCTGCCTCGCAAGCGGAAGGACCCGAGTTCAATCCCCGGTACCAACCAACAAACAAAACAAAACAAACAAACAAAAAAAGAAAATATTATGTCAGGAAAGGCTGCCACCTACTGAATTAGTAAAGCAATACTCTGGCAGGACTACTTCCCAAAGTAAGTCTTAAATCACTAGGTCCATTTCTGAAAAGTTCTGTAGTTTACTAAGTTTAAGAAATAAGCAAAAAGAACAAGAAAAAGAAAAAAGCATACTGTAATCTCAGTTGAGTACATATTAGCATATCAAAGGGACTGAGAAGTCCTGCAGTCAAGTGAAATTAAACATCTCCCTAATTTATTTGACAACTGTAACTTTTTAATTTTGTGAAACTCTTATTGTCAGGGAAATACCACTCTGTAAAACATATGTTGAGAAATACTACCCAAAATAATATATCCAATTATATCTTAAGGTAGAAAATAATTTGATTCTTGCCTTAATTTACATTATATAGTTCCCAAAATAATCATAGAATCTTAACATATTTAAAAGTCACACATAAAACATAACAATCTGAAACAAAAATACTGATTCCAGGGGCTAGAGATTTAACTCAGTAGTACAGTAGTACAGTGTTTCCCTAGCACACACAGGCCCTGTTCAACCCCAACATGTCTCAAAAATAACAAAAACAAAAGACTGATTCCAGGAAAACCTCCTTAAGCTGAGACCAATAATAACAGATGTTCCCCTTTTTTTTGGTACTGGGGATCGAACTCAACCTTGCGATTGCCAGGCAGGGACAGCGCTTCTAAGCGACATCCCCAGCCCCAGATGGCCATTTTTACCATGTCCCCACTGGCTTCAACCATTGGTGGTACATGCATGACTGTCCCATCGGGCACCTTGTATCACTGGGGGTAGAAGTGGTACAGTCATGCATAGGACAGTTATGCATGTATCACAGGCAGTTTAGGTTGAGACATACAAATTACGGCCCTGTAGTGAATGTGTTAAACCAAATATATACAACATATACTTACTGTGTAAGATTCAACTAATACTGTGGTTTCTAAGGCCAGTTTCTGCTCTTGTTCAATATTGTATCCCACATAACACAGCTTCTCTTTAATCATTCGAACTGTTTCAAAATCAGCAGAATGGTTGAAGGCGTATCCTCGCAACAAAAGCAGCTAGTACAAAAAGACAGCAGTTAAGTTCACAGTAGATATGACTGAGTTCCACTCTGCAAAAGCTATCCATGCTTGCTAAACATGTACCATCAATAACAAATACAACAGGTAGTGTATCTTCAGATCCTGCTGAATATTTCAGAAGTGGGGATTTTACTTGCCATAAAAGGATCTGTATTTTAGTTTCACAGCATAAGAGAATTAAGTTTGTGAATAATAAAATGCAGAAAACAAGCTAGAAAAAAGACAGTTTTTAAGAGTACTGTTTGTAATGTTCAGTATTGATAAATAATGAAAAGTATACTAATGAATAAATATTATGTTAGTACTAGACATCTGCAGCCTCCAATTTGCTCAATCAATCAATGCCATGTTTTTTTGTTTGTTTTGTTTTTTGAAACAGGGTCTTGCTTTGTAGTTCTGGCTGGCCCTGAACTCACTATGTACCCCAGATGGGCCTCGAACTCTCAATGATCCTCCTGCCTCTGCCTTGCGAGTGCTGGGATAAGAGGCATGCGCCACCATGCCCAGCAATGCCGTATTTATGAAATACCCATAGGTCTTACAAAGTTGTATCTCTGGCTTCTGGGACATATTGGAAAGGCAAAAGAATGTATTAAACAACTGAAGAAAAGAACTGCTGGGATACTTGAAGGTATAGTCTCTAGTCTTTCTCTATCTCTCCCACCTCTCCTCTTCTTCTCTCTTCCTTCCTTTCTATCTATTCTCATTTTTAGACATAGGGTCTCACTATGTTGCCTGGGCTGGCCTTGCACTCCTGGGTTCAAGGGATCGTCCTGCCTCAGCTTTCTGAGGTATCTGGAACTACAGGCATATACTACCATGCACAACTCTTTTATTTCTTAAGTGATAAAAAATGTTATTTTAAAACCAAGTCTTCTGAGAAAAAATGGCACAATAATCATCATGAACACAACTGGGCCTTTTGTTAAAAAGGAAAAAGAAAAAAAATCTCCTAATGTTTCTGCTTTCCGCAGAAACTCTGTTGGTTACTTCAGGCAGAATTTTGATTGAGAATGCAAGTAAAATACTGTAGTTTCTCTTATCTCACTATATGATCAGATTCATCATAAACGAGACCAAGAAACCCAAAGAAAAGGTGAAGACCTAATGCAACCCAAGTGAAACCATAGCTAACACTTCTCAACAGGAGCAAATAAGAGACTCCAACTTGCATCCCAAAGATCATGTGTGGGAATCTACAAAAGCCAGTTTCCCCGCCACCTTCATCTCACTCACCTTGATGAGATATCTGGTGATATCCCTGCCGGCGATATCCAGTCTCCTGGTGAGATGAGGGAGAGAAAAGCCTTCATACACCGGGCAAATGTGAGTTACGCCATCTCCAGAGTCCACCACTACACCGGTCAATAAACCTACACAAAAACCAAAGCCAAATCAGAAAAACAAAAACTGGCAAATTTCCACTATACTGTAAGAGCCAACCCTCAAAATTTCTTTTCTTTTTTTTTCTGGTACTGGGGATCGAACTGAGGACCTTGTGCATGCTTGTCAGGCAGATGCGGTGCCACTGAGCTACATCCCTGGCGTCCTATTTCCTTATTATTTACTTATTTTTCAATTTGTTTCTAATGCACAGATATTAAAGTAAAATACATAGATATTACAGTTCTCTTAAGTGTCACCTGTGAGACTTTTAGGCTGAGCATCTGCTTCCAAGGAGATGGGAAGACCTAGGGCTGAAAACCAGTACAATTCTTTTTTCTTCTTTCCAATTTAATTTTGATCACTGACTTCCATTAAAGTTCTCTAAAATTCCATGGATGACTTTTACAAAAACTGTGAAAAGTTTTACACAGTTACAAGTTGATAAATCTGTATCTAGTAAATCTAGATAAATCTGTAAAACTAGATAAATCTGTTATCTAGTTCTTTATTTCTGTCATATAGTGTATTAAAACTCTGTGCTGTTAAAAAAAACAACAACTCTGTGCTGTTTTAGAAAAATGTCCACTGATACTAGATACCTAAAAACTGGAGAACAATTAATTGTGCCTAGCCCAAGTATCACTTCAATTATTCACCCAAAAGCAGAAAAACCGTGTCAGTTAAACTAGAGCCTGGCACGGTGGTGCACGCCTGTAAACTCAGCACTCAGGAGGCTGAGGCAGGAGAACTGGTGTGAGTTTAAGGCTAGCCTGAACTGCATGTGAGACCATCTCAAAACAAACAAACAAACAAACAAACAAACAAACAACCACAAAAAGGGCCAAGGATTTAGCTCAGTGGTGCTGCACCTGCTTCGCAAGTGCAAGGTCCTAAGTTTGATGCCCTTAATACTTTGATCCCACAAAAAACAAAAAAAGCGAAAAACCTCATAACAAAAGAACAGCAAAGAAGCTGCCTTGTTTCCTAGGTATGCTATTAAAAATGTAGAAGTGCCTGCAAAAAGTCAATGTTCCATTTTTTGCATCAGGGTTAATTCAGGGGAAAATAAACTTTTTCTTAACTTACATTTTTTAATAGAAAAAAATTTAACCAGACTATGCATCATCTATAACTTAAGTATTATTTTATTATTTTCTCATCCCTGAATATGCCCTCTCCCTTTTTTAATAAAAATTTACATACACTGTAGTACCTAATGTCTTTAAATTCAATCAGATATTCATTTTAAGTTGATATAATTTGTTTTTCCTTTTCACTACATTAAAAATGAAGAATCTATATCACAATTAATTCAAAACTACTCCCAGTCTCATCAACTAAAGTAAGGATTTACATTTTGTTTTCCAAACACCTCTCCTCATCCACCTCTCTAACTAGCCATCTACTGCCCTTTCTCTAAACACATCTGATTCACTTCCAGGGCCATACCCTTTGACACTGGATTTCCCCTCCCTTCCATTTTAATTCCTACCAATTCTTTAGGGCTTAATGGAACTCTTATCTTTTCATTTCTAATTTCTCTAAGCACTCTAACCTCCAGCTCAGTTTTCCCAATTCCACTTATTCCCTCTTCCATTTTGTATGTTCTAGACAGCTAAACACATGTTCCTAAATCACTGTCACTTCTTTTATTCTACTGTCTATAGCTCTCGATGTCTTTTTTTGTTTTTTTTTTTAATTCCCAGCACTAACCACCATGTCTGAAGGAGAATTTTAACATGGCTTGGAGCTGATTTTTTTTTGGTACTGTGAATCGAACTCAGAACCCTGTGCTTGCAAGGCAGGTGTGGCACCACTGAGCTAAATCCCCAGTCCTGGAGTTTATTTTATTAACATTATTAGACTATTATTTCTAAAAATTAAGGATTCAACAGCTGAACAAAGACAGCTAACTATAAGCAATTAAGAAAAGATATTTTATTAGAATAAATTCATAAATAATGCTAATTGCTAGGGAAATCTGTTACTGTCAGTTATTAAGACACAATTTTTAAAATTTCATTCAGTATGATTGTCTCACCCTTAAGCCTTTGAGTAGGAACTCTCATTACATGTTTCCAGCTCAGACTCAAAATTTTTAATATGTATTTTTCCTAAGTATTATCTATAAAAGCCAGGCATGGTGGCCAGCTACTCAGGAGGCTAAGAAAGGAAGATCACAAGTTCATGACCAGCTCAGACAACTTACTGAGACTCTGTCTGATAATAATAGAGGTTGGGGATGTAGCTCAGTACTCACTGGTTTCAATCCCCAGTATGGAAAAAAAATCTTGAAAGTTTAAAAAAATGAGATAAACTTACCTAGTTGCAAAAAGTACAAGCCCTCCCTCTCACCTTCTAAAATAAGTGAGTTTTGCTTCTTCCTTCAAAAGAAAAATTACAGGGCCGGGGATTTAGCCCAGTGGTTCCGCCGCCTGCCTCGCAAGTGCAAGGTCCCGAGTTCGATCCCCAGTACCAAAAAAAGAAAAATTACAGCTGGACAATAATCATGCTACCCTGCCTGGCTGGACTATGATCACTTTAAGTCCAAAGAGATTTTCTTACTGTTACATCCTCTGTACAAAAGAGAAATTAAGTCCTATGTTACACTTGGTGAATGAAGAAATTTAATTCCCAGATGAGTGTAGTGGCAAATGACTGTAATCCCAGCACTCCAGAGGATGAGCCGGGAGGATCACGGCTGAGTTTGAGGCCAGCCTGTGCTACATCATGAGTTCAAGGACAGCCTGTATGACTCTGTCTCCAAAAAAAGGGAGGACTTTTTTTATTTTTCTTTTTGGTACCGGGCGGTGAAACCACTGAGCTAAATCCCCGGCCCCTAAAAGGGAGGATTTTTATACTAATCTATATGTAGAATCAGCTCACCATAAAAGTGTAAAAGAACCAACCAAAGCCAAAACAAAAAATCAATTCTTAGTATTTGTCACAAGACTTGAGACAGCATAGGTAATACCTCCTTCAGAAAGGTTCTCTGACACGCTAAATCAAATTATGTTTCTGAATCTTTCTTTTCCATAGAGGTTCCTAGAGAGCACCTTTATACTTCAAATGCCTAAAGGACTCCACAGCACATATCTGCCAGCCCCATAAATTCGCAGTAAGATCCTGCTGAACTTAGTAGACTATCAAAATACAAAGAGCTCTTCCCCCGCTGGCCAGTATCTTATTCCCAACAGACAAGGAGGCTGATACTAATGGCAACACCAAGAGAACAGTACAGTAAACCCTTTCCTTAAATTCCCCTCAAAACTGAGGAATGCATTCCCAAATGTCTATCTTCTCTCCTTTATGTAATCTATTATCTACTTGACAAGCATGATTTTATGCTAACGTTTTTGGATCTTTTTTAACTGAAGCCAATTCTGAACACAAATTCCTCGTTTACTGTCTACTGAATAAAAAATTAAATAGCTTAAAAGAGGGAATATCCTATATTTTAAAAAGATTCATAGTACCAGGCATGGTGGTGCACACCTGTGATCCCAGCACTCAGGAGGCTGAGGCAGGAAGATCACCTAGAGTTCAAGACCAGCCTGGGCTACATAGTGAATTCAAGGCCACGCTGCACTACAAAGTGAGACCCTGTCTCAAAAAACAACAGGGCGCCAGGGATTTAGCTCAGTGGTTTTGCTGCCTACTGCATAAGCGCATGGACCTGAGTTTGGTCCCAGGTACCAAAAAAAAAAAAAATTAAAAAAAGAATGAGAGCATATAAAAGGGAAGATCCCTTGGAATTGTCCTTTAGGGCTGAGGATTTGGCTCAGTGGTTTCGCCGCCTGCTCTGCAAGTGCAACAACCCGAGTTCGATCCCCGGTTCCAAAAAAAAGGTCCTGAGTTCCGATCCCCAGTATGGGGGTTGGGGGGAGAGACCAAAAACAACAACAAAAAACTTTGTGTCTCTTTTTACTTCAAATCCTCAATACCTAATAAAGCAAGTAAAAATGTACATGACATTTGACAAATAGTAGAAATTGTGAAAATATTTCAAAGTGTGGTATATAAATACTGTGCTTTTCTGGGATTTGTAACAATAAAAAATCAAATTTCTGTCATAAAATATACTTAATTAATTTTTGAAATAGTCAAGCTTCACCCACCTTGAGCATATAAAGTCAGAACTGCCTGGATGGCTACATACACGCCAGAAAACTGGTATGTTTCAAACATTACCTAAAAATTCAGAAAAAAAAAAGAAATGGAATTTAGAAAGTTACATGATGCAAATTTATACGCTTCCTTCAAGCTAACAGAGTGGATTCACTGATGGAAACAGAATCAGACACCTAAAAGACTCTTCCATTCTAATTAGCACCTCTTCCTCAAAAAGACCTGCTGCCCCAGAGCTCTAACTCTGAGGACAAATTTTTGGACACATATTGAGTCTCCAAGCATTTATAAGTGCTACAAAGCAAAGATTTTCCTCCGTCCCTCCCTCCTGTTTCCTTTCTCCTTTTTTTCGATGGGGATTGAGCCCAGGGTCTCCATGATCCTCCTGCCTCAGCATCCCAGAGTGCTGGGATTACAGGGATGTGCCAATGTTTCAGGCTAAATAAATATCTTTCAATTCAAAAACAAACTGTAGCCAGGCACGGTGGCTGACTGCAAGTTAAGAGGCCAGCCTGGTCAACTTAGCAAGACCCTGGGGATGTAGCTTAGACACAGATTGACCTGGTTTCGATTCCCAGTACCACAAATAAAACAAAGCCTGCAGCAACTGCCTAACTACTGAGCCTCCCACTTTTCTCCCTCAACCTGGGGGCTACAATTGTGGCTCTATTCCCACCAGTTAAAAGCACAAACAAATAACGAAATATGTAGAGCTGGGAATATAGCTCAGTGATAGAGTGCTTGCTAAAGTCTGAGAGGCTTTGGGTTTAATTCCACAGAAAGAAAAAAAAAAAAGTAAAATGAGAAGGTAAAGATATGGGCTGGGGATGTAGCTCAGTGGTACAGTGCCTGCCTGGCAAGCACAAGGCCCTGAGTTTGATTCCCGGTACAAAAAAAAGGATAAACAATAAAGCAGCTTATAAGTTGGCAGATATAAAAATCCTTAGCTTCCAAGCCTACCACCTCCACCTGAGCCAAGGCTAACCCCCCTGAATTCCAATGGAGGAGGAGCTACTGGTGCCCGCTCTGGGCACACAGCAATGCCCGTTCTCTGCAGCCTCTGTGGGTGGGAACATCCTGTGTAGTGAACACAGCTTAAATGGTAGGGCTGCTTGTCACTCTGAATATCCAGCTATTCAGGAATCTATTTTTTTTTCTTTTGGTACTGGGGATCAAACTCGGGTCCTTGCGCTTAGGAATCTTATTATTCATCACAACAATTATACAGAATTTAGATTTTATAACTCTGAAATACAAATCTGTCAATTAACAACTAGATACTCAACTAATATTTTATTCTATTATTCTTATTAAAATTCCCCCTGCAGGGTTGAAAATACTATATGTGCGTTACCTTGAAAAGTTGTTAGAATTTTTCTTCTCTTGTTTTGGAGACAGAGGGTCTCCCTATGTAGGTAGTTCAGACTAGCCTAAACTCACTATGTATCCCAGGCAAGTCTTGAACTTGCAGCGACCTTCCTCCCTCAGCCTCCCAAGTGTGGGATTACAGGCACAGACCACTACACCTGGCTAAATCTGTTAGAATTTGATTTTATTTGTAAGACCATTAAAGTACTTGTACTACTAAAACAACTACTGGATAAGATTAAAATAGGACATTATTAATAATTGCCAAAGCAAGCAAATAAATACTAAAATGAGAACGGTGATTATACTGATTCTGTAACTAAAAGCATGACTTCAAAATTCCCCAAAACTTACAACAAAAATAAAATTTTAGCTGGATGCAGTATACCTGTAGACCCAGGAACTAGGAAGGCTGAAGCAGAACAATTACTTGAGCCCAGGAGTTCAAAGCCAGCCTGGGCACAATAGTGAAAACCAGTCTCAAAACAAAAAACAAAAAGCAAAAAGCAAAAAACAAAAAAACACCAAAAAGCCAAAACCAAAAAAAAAAAATCTGAGTTTCAATTCACTTTTAAAATACTGTCTAGGGCCGGGGATTTAGCTCAGTGGTTTTGCCGCCTGCTGCGCAAGCACAAGGACCCGAGTTCAATCCCCGGTACCAAAAAAAAAAAAAATTGTCTAACAGTAGTTTCTTCTCACCTTTTCCATAACTTCTATCAACACCTAAAAATATTTGTAAGAATAAAACAAAATATTTATATGCAAATTAATTAGAAAGCTAATTATCAAAACTTTCTACCTTACACTGTACAAAATGAAAACCTTGAAAAACTATCTAAACTACACGGAATATTGTTCTCTTGCTCTTTACTTTCTCTGTAACTCCTTACACCTCACCAGTCTTTTCAATCTCCCACTATCTCTCTGCAGTCCTTGGACTTTTCAGCCCTGTCTACTCTCACTTTTTTGGTGAACAATATCATCTATATTCTGAAGACTCAAGTTTCTATCTCCAGCCTCTTACTTTTATCCTGACCTTAATCTTTTTTTTTGGTACTGGGGATTGAACTCGGGACCTTGTGCTTGCGAGGCAAGTACCGGAACCACTGAGCTAAATCCCCAGTGAACCTTAATCTTATATATACAACCGTATAGTTGATATTTCCCTTTTTCTTTTTGAGAGTGTCTTACTATGTAATCCAGGCCGGCCTTGAACTTGCTAATAACCCACACTGGCCTTGAACTCATGATCCTCCTGCCTCAGTCTCCCAAGTGCTAGAATTAAAAAGCATGCATAGGGCCAGGAATTTAGCTCAGTGGTTCTGCCACCTGCATCGCAAGCACAAGGTCCTGGGTTCGATCCCCAGTACAAAAACAAAACAAACGAAAAAACCTTTAGGGCCGGGGATTTAGCTCAGTGGTTCTGACGCCTATCTCACAAACCCAAAGTCCTGAGTTCGATCCCCGGTACCAAAACAGAAAACAAAAAACACCAAAAAGCATGCATGATTTTGTAATATTTGATTAGACTTCACTAGTTGAGCATCCCTGATTTATTTATTTTGGTACTGGGGATTAAACTCGGGTCCTTGCGCTTGCGCAGCAGGCAACGAAATCACTGAGCTAAATCCCCGGCCCAAGCATCCCTACTTTAAAAAGCCAAAATCTAAAATGCTCCAGAATCCAAAACTTAAGCATCATGCCAATGCTCAAAGTGTTTTAGACTGCAGATTACGGATGCTCAACCTATAGCAAATGCAAGGCCAGGGATTTAGCTCAGTGGTTTCACCACCTGCACAGGTGCAAGGACCCAAGTTCAATCCCCGGTAAAAAA